CTAGGTGGGCACCTTGGCAGAGAAACACATTTCTGGGCCCCTTCATATCAAGGCTGACAGATGCATCAGGGCAAGCAAAGCTAAAATGAGATAAGTGATTCTACTAATAACTCAAGCCTATGCTATGAAGTGCACAAATAATAAGAATATGTTGAATTGTACCCTGAAATTACTAGAAGCTAGTGCAGTTTATAAACTAATGGTGTCCTTCTCACCCAGATTCCCAAAACTTTTAGACACTCAGATAGAATCTGGAGTACATCACTTAGTTGAAAATAAACAGATAAATATAATTTGAGTATCATCATTAAGAGTACTATATAAATGATAGCTTAACCCCATAGCAGTGGAAGACCCAACCCACCAATTATTGTATCGTTGCTATGTCATGAGGTATATTAACTTTTTTGGCCAGTTTCTGACCTCATCCCAAGAGAGGAATATTGTTAAAATCTCTTCTTCAATTTTAGAAGGCAAATGTGCAAATGTCCCATATTCAGAAAAGCCATGCCATTTTATTGCAGGGTTGAGGGTTTTTTGATATACTATCAATTTTATTAAATTTTATTAAATATCATTATACTATATTGTCACATTTTATTGCATTATCACAAATAAGACAGAACCATGCTATGTAAAAGAATTTCAGATAACTTGGTTGATAAATATATTAAGTATCCTTTTCTTTTAATGAAAGGCCTTTCATTAACTTTCATTTCAAATCCTGTCAATAACAAATATTACTCTGTTGGCATTTCTAAACATCATTTTGCTTTTGCTCATAAAAATATCAAAGTGACTAATATAGATCATGATAAATTAAGATATCCAAAATGAAAAGTGCAGAAAAAATGTAATATTGTAAAATAATTCATATTGGTGGTGCTGATGCTATAGCATAAATTAATATTAGTACTGTTACATTTTAGTGAAATCTTCTATTCATAAATTTGGTATTTTTTTTTCCATTTCAGATGGAAAAGCTGAACCACGGACAACTAAATACCACAAGGGTTACAGAATTTATTCTTCTTGGCTTCCCAGGCTCACCACATTTTCAGCTCTCCATCTTCATAATTTTTTTAATCATATACTTTCTGACCATCTTAGGAAATCTCTCCATCATCCTTCTCATAGTAACATACCAGCATCTCCACACTCCCATGTACATTTTCCTTTATAATCTTGCTTTATTGGAAATATGGTTTACAACAGCTTCCATCCCCAAGATCCTTGCCATCCTTCTAGGGGGGAGCAGAAGTATATCTTTCCCTTGCTGCATTCTGCAATTATATTTCATTTTTTCTTTTGGATGCACTGAACAGTTGCTATTAGCTGTGATGGCTTATGACAGATATTTGGCTATATGTTATCCTTTGCATTACAGCACTATCATGACTATCAACTTGTCTTGTAAGATAGCTCTTGGATGTTGGGTGGGGAGTTTCCTTCTTATTTGCATACCCACATATATGGTTACAACACTGTCCTTCTGTGGGCCCAATGTGATCAATAATTTCTATTGTAACCTTGATGCTTGGATCATACTGTCATGTACAGATACACGTTTCATTGAGCTAACATTTTTTTTCATGGCTATTGTTGTTGTTATAGGCTCCTGTATGATGACTCTTCTTTCCTATATGTACATTATTTCCACAATCCTATGTATCCCTTCCACCAAAGGTCGACAAAAAGCTTTTTCCACATGTTCTTCCCACCTTGCTGTTGTGATCATTTGGTATGGTTCCACCATGTTCCTCTTTGTCAAGCCTTCTAAAGAAATGTCTTTAGAAAAGAATAAGTTAGTAAGTGTCTTCAACGTAATTTTGGTCCCACTTCTGAATCCTTTTATTTATACATTAAGAAACAAAGACATTAGGGATATTTTGAAGAATGTATTTCACAGGTGATTGATAATTTATTGACTGATGTAAAAGACTCATAAATCTTTAAAATAAATGTTCTCCTGTGCGCTGCTTGGAGAATCCAAGCATGGGTTAACACAGTCTATCTGCCCTAGGACTGAGTAGATTTTTCTTTGACCACACCTCCCTTTGCCTCATTGAGATCAGTTTAAAAACTCATTCTGCCCATTAAGACTAATTTTGGGGAGCTCCTCAGTTATAGGTCAGATAGATTGGACTCTCCAAATTGTGCATAGAGAATTATCTTCCTTTTTTATTTTTGTATAGAATTTTCTTTAGATAGATATAGGCAGGCAAAGCTCAAAGGAAAAAACTTGTACCTTTGAATTGCTGAGGAAGGCTGCCGGATTCCAGAGAGCTGCTGGTCGCATGCAGATGAGAAAAAAGGCAGTTGCTTGTCCGGTGGCTGCCGGTGAGCAAGGGATGGTGGGAGGCTTCCTGTCCATTTTTCCCCAGCCGCTGCTGTTAATAGTGCCACCTGGAGTGATTGAAGGCTCCGGTGATGTCAGCGGTTTCTCCTCAGCCTAGCAAGTGCGGTGGCCATTTTAAAGCATTTTGTGTGCTCTTTGCTGTTTGCTAACTGTCATCTTGAACTCAGAGAGCGGCGGCGAGCAGCAGCAGCCATTTTAAAGTGACAATTTTGCATAGATCGCCGTTTGGAGCCACAGGAAGAGGCAGAGCAAATCCCCTGAGCAGATGGACTCATTGCCATGTCCACCCTTGGGCCAGATAGAAGAGAGAGAAACTGGTTCAACTCAGGGAAACAGGTCCCCCTCATTAATTGGGGAGGAGTCACAGGAGTCTTCCCCTGATGCCTCCTGGGACTACCCTGAATCACCCACTTCATCACTCAGAGAGGAACTGGAACCCTTTCAGGGCATCCTTCCAGTGGAGGAGGGAGCTGGCTTGGTTAGGAACAGGGGCCAGGTCGCTCTGTATAGGGCTCGACCCAGGGATGATAAAGGTCTGCAGAGATGAAAGAAGTGATTGCCCAAGCCATCTCCCAGGGCATAGCCGAAGGGATCTGGCAGAAAGATGCCCGCATAGAGGGAACATCTAAATCAAGCCCTCCAGTTCAGGTCAGGGAGCAGGCCCCAGCTTCTCTTGGCACCTCTGTTGCCACAGATGAATCGGTCTGGGAGGAGGAGGAGGAGGAGGAGGCCGAGGAATTTGAATTATCTGAGGATAAGGATCTTCCTCCCAATAAGCTTGCCTTCACTGGGTTATTTAAGCCATCCTTGTTTAAGGCTATTCTACCCAAGGCCAAAGCATCCACCAAGCTAGGGCTTACTCCTAATAGTATGACCGTGCCATCCTCCTCCCCTAAGGACCCCAAAGAAGGTCTTTTCAAGGAGAATGTTCCAAATCGAACTGATTCCGTTTCCAGATTTATTAATGGATGTTGTCCAAAGATAATGGGCACAGCCTGGTACTTTGACCAATCCTAGCAGTGGGGATAAATCTCTGTATTCTGTAGAGACTAGGATGGAGGATATTTTGAAGTTACCTAAGGTGGATGCCCCGGTGGTCTCCTTGACTTCCAACTCGAACCTGCCGGTGGACCTGCTAGACGGTCTCAAGGTGGAAGACAAAAGATCTGAGAAGGCCTGTCATAAGATGCATCAGGCGGCTGCCTGGGCCATCAGGGCATCTACCTTTGTCTCTTTTTTCACCAGGGCTTCCCTCCTCTGGCTGAGACAATTGAGAGCCAAACCTCCCTCTGAGGGATCTTGGCGGTGTCACGATCTCAGTAAAATTATCATCGCAGTGGAGTATTTGGCAGACCCCCCGCGCTGAACGTGGTGAAGTTTGTGTCCTGTGCGTTGGCTTCCAATGTAACTTCACGCCGCCTGCTGTGGCTTTGCCACTGGCAGGCGGACATGAAGGCAAGTGGAAGCTTGCTTCTTCTCCCTTTAAATGGGGACCGTTCTTTGGGGATGCTCTGGACAAATTTGTGATTGAAACGAAAAACAAATGGAAGGTCCTTCCAGCCACTCTGAAGAAAAATTAGCCTAAAAACTCTGGTTCTTTTAGGAAACAGACCTTTTGAATGCAGGAATCTGCTCAGGTGTCCACCTCCTCTTCCTACCATAGACCCTAATCTCAGGCGGGTGACAGGGCTCAAGGCAACAACAGCATTCCTTTTGAAAGCCATTTTGTGGCAGTTCCAACTCCCGCCAATTCAGACATGACAAGTGACCATCACAGAGTCCTTCACATAGTTTGCAACTTTATGTCGACAAATGGGAGGGAATTACCACAGACTCGTGGGTTCTCAACACAATCAGGAGGGGTCTAGTCTTAGAATTTCTGTCATTTCCCCAATGGACATTCATTCATTGTCCAACTCCCAAGAATCTCCTAAACAGATTCCTCATGCAGGCGGTGATTCATCACCTTCTCCAAATAAGGGGCCCTAGAACCCTTACTGAGGGATCAGGAAAAGCAGGGATTGTATTCCATTTTTTTCCTGGTCCCGAAAAGCTTGGGGGGGTGGAGGGCCATCTTGGACCTGAAGCGCTAGAATCAACACCTGGCCTACAAGCAATTCAAGATGCAATCCCTCCACTCTATCTTGGATTGCATAAGGCAAGGAAACCTGCTCACCTCCATAGACTTAAAAGAAGCTTATGTGCAGTTCCCATTCATGCAGCGCACAGGAGGTTCCTGTGGTTCCACTACAATGGGGGGCATTACCAGTACAGGGCTCTCCCCTTCGGCCTCTCATCTGCACCCAGGACCTTCACAAAGCTTCTGGCAGTCGTGGAGGCCCACCCTCAGTCCCATCTGATTCAACTGGAATGCTACCCAGACATCATCATTCAGTCCTCGAGCCACGACCTGGCGTGATGAGACGATACGCATCTTGCAACAGCACGTTTTTTCGGTGAACTGGAAAAACAGTCATCTGAGCCGACCACATGAATCCAGCACCTCAGCACCATCATAGATTCGGTTTCTTGCCAGGTCTTTCTATCCCCAGATCATCCGCGCAACCTCAGGAGCAAAGTACATCAGTATCGGCAGCTCAGGTCAGTGCTGATCATCAAACTTTCACAAGTTCTTGGCATCATGATCTGCCTAAAGGTAGTTCCTTGGGCACGTCTTCATGTGGTTCCTCCTGCCGATGCAGAGGTCAAAGGACAGCAACTCTCCAAGATGAGTCCGTCTGCTACAGAGGGTGATCCACTCCCTCAACTAGTGGCGATCAGCAGCAGTATAGAAGGGGTGCCAGTTCAAGGAGCTCAAAAGAATCATGGTGACTTCAGATGCCAGCCTCTACGGATGTGGGGCACATTGTCAGGGTCAGCTGACACAGAGCAGATGGATGCAAAGGGAGGCAGCCCTTCACAAACATGTTATGTATAAAGTGAACATTGCTGCATGCTATCATTATCAGTACATCAGAAATTAATTATCAATCTCCATTTATCCCAAAGGTGTTTTTTTTTCAGGAGGCAACTTGACTTGTTTTTTGATGACCAGCTGTATGCAAAGAGTATAAACTCTTCCATTCCTTACTATTCTGTCAGAGCTGAAGAAACTTCTTGGATGAGAAGTGAAATGTCTTAAAAGAAGAAATAAGAAAGTTCAGTTGCCTCCTGAAAAAAAGCACCTTTGGGATAACCACAACCTGGGTGACTGAAAATCTCTACCATTCCCAGTAAGGATATGGATAGCTGATGAGAGCTAAATTGCTTGAAATAGATATATACTAGTCTCCGTTTATTGATTTATCAGCACAAATGCAATACACACAGACACACACACACACTGTACATACATACAAACATACATACACATATACCATATTTTTCAGAGTATAAGACTCACCGGAGAATAAGATGCACTAAGGTAGTGCAAAAAAACGGCCCTATGGGAAAAACCAAAGCTCAGGAACAGACTTCCGGATTGCTCTTAGGGCCAGTTTAAGCCATCCGGAGACGTCAGGGGCCTTCCAGAAGCTTCCCTGGAAAACTGTTCTTGAACTTTCAGTTTGCTGGTAGGGCCAGTTTTTTGTGCTCTGGAGGCTTCAGGAAAGCTCCCCAGGCCCCTGGGGGGAGGCTGTTTTTGCCCTTCCTAGGCTCCTATAAAGCCTCTGGAGACTGGAGAGGGCAAAAAAATGGGCTAAAAAAAAAGGCTAAAGTCAGCTGGCCAGCACACGCATGTGCTCTGGGCAGCTGACAGGGCAACACCTCGCATGTCCTGACAAATGGCTCTATGTGCCACTAGTGGCATGCGTGCATAGGTTAGCCATTCCGGCATTCAGGTTTTGAAGAGGCAATTTTTTTAAAAAAGTTTTTGCACTTTGCAAACCTCCCAAAAATGGCCCATTATTCATGAAAACAGGTCCGTTTTTGTTTTTTTTAAAAGGCATGAGTAGCCTTTAGGAGGCTTGTAGAGTGCATCTGGGAGGGGGGGGGAAACAAGTAAAAATCAGCCCATTTTTTGCAAAAAATCATTTTTTGTCAAAAGAAAGGGCATAGATAGCTTTGGGGGGGGATTGAGAAAAAAGTCAATTTTTTGCTCATTCCTGTCCTCCCCAGGTGCAAAATGGCTATGCATGGCCATTTTGGTGAAGGGAGTGGGCTTTTGGGAGGCCAAAAATGCTGCATTCAGTGTATAAGATGCACCCAGATTTTCAGCCTCTTTTTTGAGCGGAAAAGGGTTCTCTGAAAAATATGGTACATATACATATTTATACATATATGTACACACACACACACACACACACACACTTTAATTAATTACAAAATGTTGGTGTTGATTTTTAGCAACCATCTAATAGCTAGATCTATTCCCAACCTAGTCCCAACCCTCATTACTGAGTCCATCAACTTTCCTACTGGTCATCTTATTCTCTTTCTCATATAAAGGAAGACAGAAGAGATTGAAATAATGTGTGTAGACTTCCTCTTTCACCATTCACCACAATCATCTGTAAGGTATGCACTCATGAAAGATCACTGTCCAAAAACAACCCAGTAAATTTTCACAGAGGAGACCAGATTGGAACTAGAAGAGTCACAAACAAAGATTCAAAGTTATGGCTCTTGATAAATTAGTTTCTCAAATACACATTTGCTAATAGTCCAGTACTTATGATTTATATTAATATTGATTGTTTCCTGATTGCTTATTTGTACCCTATGCCTATCATTAAGTGTCATACCTTATGATTCTTGACGAATGTATCTTGTCTTTTTATGTACACTGAGAGCATATGCACCAAAGACAAATTCCTTGTGTGTCCAATTACACTTGGCCAATAAATAATTATATTCTATTAAATGTGCTAATTATTAAATTTTCAGAGCATTATAATAATTTACTCTCAACCCAGTCCTACCTGATCCAAGCTTGGAGCAAAGTTGTAATTTCATGCTATTGTAATAATACTTCATAAAGTAAACTTTTTTGAAAAAGTTTTATGAAGCAATCAAATTTCTTTCTTCTGTTTATTTTCTCCCCGTGCCCCAAAAAAGTTTACTTGGACAATATGACACTAATTAGAAACAGTTCTCAACTGGGATTAAATTAATTGTACCATTAATGTTCTTGAAATACTTTTGGTCAGTGCACTAGAATCCAGTTTGACAATGCAGACCAGTATGCCCAATATTGGTAACTCTGAAAACTTTTGTGTTCCATTTGTCAATGAAATGCTAAGAAAATTAGCTTTTCTCCAAAAAAATAGATGGGGAAAATACAAATCAGTGGAAAGCTAAATATATCTTTATGGTCAGAGATTTTCATGGATGAAATGGGTTACTGAGAACTTCACTTAGAAGATCAGAAAGGAAAGTCACCAGGAAATTTTATTGCTGAAACATTTTATATGAAGGTAAGATAAACTTAATAATGTTTTTCCTTGTAACACTTCTTCTGGAGATCTCTTCTTAAATTTTATAGTTTCTTGGTATCAATAGTTTCTTAATCAGAAAATGTATACTTATTTTGAAGCAAGCACAATGACTCAAATAAGGAAATGATTTGGGAAGATATTCCTGACATTACTTTGATCTAACTCCTTCCTTTGAATGTTTAATTTATTTTTTCCTCTTTTTATTACTTTTCTCAATCATCCCTCAAGATTTTTGGTTTCACCAAATCCTGTCAATTGGAGAAAGGTGAATCATTATGATTCTAAACAGTAGCATAATGAAAAAAAAAACTCTTCTCTGAATTTCAGAATTTTAAATTCAATAAAATTGATATCAAGATGTATTGTGTTATACCCACAACAGTGGATTTCCACATTATAATTTAAACTTATATGGTGTTGAGTGTCTTCAAGGTCACTCAATTGCTACCAATGGTCAAAAAGGCATTAATTTAAAGTATAGCCCTATCTATGTTGAAACTATACCCTCACTTTGCATATCATTCATGCGTTCCCTGTCAAACTAGATTTTCCATAAATTGCAGTTCTTTTCTAGAAACAAATTACACTAGAATTATCTTGTTCACATTTCACTTAAAAATAGGTTCCCCCCCAATCCTTACA